GGCGGGGGACTGTGAGTCTCTGCCCCCGTTCGCGGGTGGGAGTGGGGACCAGGAGCGATCGCGCGCGTGCAGGGGGGTGGGAGAACCGCCCGTGCTCTCAAACGGTGCCACCCCTTTGGTGGCTCAGGGGCTGGCGAAGGAAGGAGCCCAGCGGACGAGAGAGCCTTCTGAAAAGTTAGCTCCGTCTCCTGCTAGGAATTCATCCAGCACCAACTTTGGTATGCATTTAATCTCCGAAATTAGCGCTATCACCTTACGTCCGAGTAGCGCTTTCCAGTTGGAGGCTGGCTGCTCTTTCCATTCCTTCGTACTGCCACTTCGCAAGCAGCGCCCTCACCCCTGACCAGCGAGCGGTTTGCCAACCTGCGGATAATTACCACGGTCCCCACCGAATTCCTAAATGGCCAGGCTGGGCGGGCGGGACCGGCCGGAGGGATTAGCGAGGGAATATGCTTTGCAGGGGGCCTTTGGAAGCGGAATGCAGGTGGTCGGCAGCCACGGGCCCGGTTTCAGCCGCCCCTTCGGGAGTTAAAGCGCCGAGAGGAGTGGAGATGATTTGTCATGTAGTCCGATTCTCGCTTTACAGGCCAGAAAGGCTGAAGTGCAGTGAAGTTCTAACTTCCAGAAAGTCTGGGGGACAGAAACATTCAAGCCGGATTGAAAGCTGTTTCCCGGCCAGCCACTGGAGAATGCAAAGCAGTGCTCTGGCTGGGCCCCAGGAACGTACAGGATAGAGCTAGGAGGAGCAAAACGGAAGGGAACGGACTCAGGTAGAAGTGGACCTCATTCCAATTGAACGATTCAGGGAGGGAAACAACCAAAAACTGCCCTGGGGTACATTCCCAGTGAGAGTGAATGCAAAATCCAGAAGTGGTTCCCCACCTTCCTAATGCCCTGACCCTTTGGTACAGTTCATGTTGTGGTGACACCCCCCCCAACCATAAAATTACTTGAGTTGCTACTTCATAACTGTAATTTTGCTACTGTTATGAATCGGGCGAACCGATTCACTGGGGGTCGTTCCATCCCCAGAGGGGTCGGGACCCACAGGTTGAGAACCACTGGATTAGAGGAAGCCCAAAGGAAAACTTCCAGGAGCCTGTGGGCCCTGGTTTTTATTGCTTTGGGTTGATCAGCAAAGTTCTGGAAGCAGCTGTAACAGTATCCAAATGTGTGTTCATTTGGAAACTTAGAACCCACATGGCTGGATATTTTCTGTTTTCAGGGACTGCTCTGTAATTATAAGCAGTGCGTACTCTGGTCCGAGTGTCCTGCCGTAGTAAATGGAAATGGCTTGCTCCAAATCAAGAGTTAAGTTGACTGGAAATGGGAAGAACTTGTCCTCGAGCCGCTTGGAGGCAGGAGTGGCCCTGTGCCTGTGGGTTGGACTTGAATGTGATAGTTCAGTTATGTGCCTGGTTGGGATTTGGGGGCGTTGAAGTTCAGGAAAGAAAAACACTTGTGATGTTGCATGATTTTAAAATTCCATTGTTTTAGTCCTGATGGCACGGGCTTCATCATTTATTGTCGGAGTTCGAGAAAGGGCTTGGTCTGGGTGCCCTGATCATCATGATCCAATTCCTAGTACTCGGCAACTTGGAAACTGAAACCTTGGGCTTGCCATCCTCCTCTTCTGGCAGCTTATTTTTGATTCTTTCATATTCTGGAAAGTGATGTGCGGTCGGCGGTGTGCTGTTAACCACAAGGTTGGTGGTTCAAGCCCACCCGCAGAAGAAAGATGGCTGCTGGCTTCAGTAACGATTTACAGTCTCAGAAACCCTACAGAGGAGTTGCTATGTGGTGCAATCCACTCCACGGCAGGAGTTTTTTCATACTCTGTAGGCAAACTGTAAGGGGATTTCAGTTCATGAGAAGATTCCATTATCTTTTAATTCCTCAAACTTTTTGAAGCGCCCCCTCACCCCCACCCCCGGTAGCCATGGTGTCTGGCACACATTGAGTGAGCCAGGTCACTATTGAATCAAGGCCGTCTGAGAGCATGCCTGAATGGCATGCGAGCCAGCTCCCCTATTGTAACGATGGCCGGGCACAGGGACTTCCTCGGATATCTGTTGTTGACACGTGTGCCTTTTAATGGTTGTCATCTTCCCAGACCCACTGCTCTCAAGTCACGTTTGAGTCATAGGGACCCTAGAGTACAAAGCAGAATTGCCCTGTGGGTTTCCAAGACTTCATGATGGTTGACAGCCTTATCTTTCTCCCTCGGAGTGACTGGTGGATTCCGACTGCAGACCTTGCAGTTTACAGCCCAACACGTAACCACTACTCCACCAGTGCTTCTCTGCTTATCATCTCAGCAGCTGTCAAAAAATACTGGGGCAGATTTTTGAAGCAGTGTTTCCTTTTACACTGCTTTGATCTTCTCTGTTTTTTCACAAACCTATCAGGTGGCAAACAAAACTCTCGTGGTGCATAGACCCCCTGCATTACGAGTTCTTTGTCTTCCACATCCAGAAGAGTATTATTCCCCTTTATTGTCTTTGGTCCTGGAGGGGAGAGCGAAGGGTACAGATAATGAAAGAATGGGTAGTGCAAATAGCACCTGTTAGGTCTGCGATACTGGCTGCCATGTGGTTTTTTTCTTTGGTAACTGATTTATCTTCCTAATTGTTTCTCCAGAGTTAAGAAAGTTCTCTATAAACCCGGTGGTGTCCTTTAACCTTGGGACAGTCTTTGAACCAGGCCAAACCCGCGGCCCTGATGCCCATTCCAACTCACGGCAGTCCGATAGGACAGAGGACTGCCTGTGGGAGTCCCAAGCCTATAGAGCTTTACCAAAGCAGACTGCCACATCTCTTTGCAGAGTAGTGGCTGGCGGGCTTCAAACCTTTTGGTTTGCGTCCCAGTGCTTTAACCACGGAGGCAATCATTACACTTCCTAACGGTTGTTCCGTAGGCTAACAGAATAGTAACATTAAGGGTGCATTTCTAGGATGCCAGCTGATACTGGGGGTAGGGAATCACGTTTTCCTAAAGGCTGAGACAAACTAAATTCCACTTCTCTGGAGTGGATTTGGACTCCGACCACATATGGGGTTTACAGGGTCCCAGAGGCTAGTTGTAAATGGTGCATTTTGTGAATAGTTGCTGAATGGATTTGAGTTTTATCTTAGTAGGGAGTAAAAAGTTCTCTTAATCTCACTGTTTTGCAGCAAAGAGGGTAACAATTTCTCTTGTGTGCTCTGTCCTGCCAACATTTGCAAAAAGGCACAGCTACTGAGAAGCCATACAATTTCCTATTGTTTATGGTAATATTTCAAACATGAGTTAAAAAAAAAATCTAATGTTGAGCAAAGAATTTTTATCCAGAGCTTTAACAAAAAAATTAAACCCCCAAAATGGGAATGTTCTGTTGCTGAGCGCCCTTCCCATGACCAGAGTTGATAGGTGGCACAAATGGGTAAACCAGGCTGCTGCCCCCAGCTTGGTGGTGCCAGCCCACTCAGGGGTGCCTGGGCAACTAGGCTTAGAGAGCTGCTTCTGAAAGGTCTCGGCCTTGGAAACCCAGGAGCTTTCAGTGCCGCGTCTTCTGCCTGCCCCGGGTTGCCGTGACTCCACAGCAGCTCAGAGCAACGACACTCACTGCAGGGACAGTGCCGAGCTGGAGCGTGAATCAGAGCAGTGGCCGCTTCCCAGCATGATACCAGAATTGAGAAAATGGAGGGGAAACTAAGACTTTTGATAACATCTTAAGACGAGCTGATAGGAAGGGTGTGTTCCCCGAGTTTTTATTGACTCTGAAACGGGAAGGTGTGACTGGAGTTTTGAGAGCCCTCAGTGTGAGTCACCGTCTTCTCCAGAGAAATGTTAATGTTTATGCGTCAGGAATGTGTTTTGGAAACTTTCAGATGATTTATTAGAGACAAGCATCGACTGCCGAATGGTCGAACCTGCCAGTAATACCCCTCAGTTGTGCGTGGAACCGCAGACTGGTGAACTTGGGGCGAAACTGAGAAGGCTGGGGATCCACACACACTGCGGAGCCCGTGGGGAGAGCCCGGGCCCTCGTGAGCGATGCTTCGGAGCTGTCTCAGCAGTGCTCTCTTGCTAATAATTGATCAAAGGAATACAGGCTCCATGGTCAAACACATCTGAAAAGCATTTGCTTGTTGATTGATGGATGATTGATTTCTAGTCTGAAAGTGAAGCTAGCCTTTAAAACGCTGGTCTCCTCAGCCATGCCCGAACAGTCCCGAAACTCCAGGGACTGCGACTGAACCTTTTCTCCTTGGACTTCCACACCTGAGGAGAGAGCCTGCTAGTCCCATAGCGAGTGAGACACCTGCTGCTGGTGGGCTGGATGGGGAATGCCGGCACTTGGAGGGAAGAGGTGCACTGGTGGAGGAGGGAGGCCAGGCGTTGGAACTGAACTGTGGGAGAAACGTCCGCCTTGATGGAGGCGGTGCCCTTCCTGCGTGTCTGATCCCGTGATAGCGCTCTAGTGTAATTATTCTCTTCCCCCACTAATTGGTGAGTTTCTGGATCAGGCGTGAGTGAGCCTTTCAGTCTCTTGGGCCTAGCTCTGTATCAGCCACATAAACATTTGTTGCATTCATTGGATAACGGGCATATAGTTGGTGTATTATATTAATAAAGCTTTTTTAATAAAGCTCTAGTTTTTTATTTTTAAAGCATCTACTTCATTTGTATAGTAACCTTATGCCAAGGAGTGCAAAATCAGTTTGGTGTGTCTTGCTGCCGGTCCTTACCACGTCCTGTGACTTGGGTTCCTTCTGTGGGAGAGGTCATTCAGCTGCACCGTTTTTGCTGCTAAAGCTCGACTGGCACACCTGTGGTCCACTCTCCGCTGTCACGGTGTGGTCTCCAGGCACTGTTGGAGTGGAGTCACCAGGCTGGACAGTCCCCAGGTGGAGGCAGGCAGGGTCCCCAGGGATTAACCTCTTTCAGAGATGCAGCAGTTAATGGTGAGAGGGTACCCACGTTGCTGGGCCCATCATGTGGAGTTCTCCCTCCCCAGAATAAGGTTTATGACAGTGGACTTGGGTACTAGACATAGCTTCTTTATGAAGGAAAGGTAGTCTGTTAATCCTTTTTTTCTTTTTTCTTTTTGGTGTCCTTGGGTGAGCACGCTTTTTTTTTTTTTTTAAAGCATTGTGTTTAGGTGAAAGCTGTTTGTTGTGTTTGGTTGGCGTTTTCTGTTTTTTCAAACCTTTGTATGTTTGTCATCTTTATAGTTCGGAGCTGAATTTCGTCGTTTTTCGCTGGAAAGATCAAAACCTGGAAAATTTGAAGAGTTTTACGGATTGCTACAACATGTTCATAAGATCCCCAATGTTGATGTTTTAGTGGGCTATGCAGACATCCACGGAGACTTACTACCTATAAATAACGACGATAATTACCACAAAGCTGTCTCAACAGCCAATCCGCTGCTGAGGATTTTTATTCAGAAGAAGGGTAAGTGCGGCACGTTCTACGTAGCCATTGTTCCAGACATCCTTGCTTCCCCCTTGAGAGGGACATAGACATTGCCACAGACTTGGTGACGATGTGTTGTGAACATCACCTTCCGATGTTAACAAGTAGGTTAAATAACCATTTGGGAGCATTGGTTTGATTCATATCTTTACATTGCACTGAGTTACCTAAGATGTCTGGATAATTTATGTTTTTATCAACTCATTTGGCCTCTGTAGAAATTAGGAATTTATTGACTCCTAGAGTGATTGCTGTCCATTCAGAAAGGCCTGGGGGAAACTGGCTTTGCAGGTAGAGAAACATCCCAGTTTCTAGGTTTCCAGCCTAATAAATACACGGAGGGAAGTTCTCCTGAGTCTTCGTCCGTGAGTGCGTGCCACCGTGCAGACCACGTGAGCTGAGCGCAGTGCTGGCCTGTCGTGGGCACACGGGAAAGGTTTTAGAATTATTTTCCACTGGAAAAATATGAAACTATAATTACCTGGGAAGTTAAGGAGCAAGTAGTTATTTTAGGCGAAGTGAACATTGGCGGCCGCTTTGCCAGAAAGCCTTTGAAATCATAGCCGTGCCTTCCCACGCGTGTATGTATCTGATAGGAATCCTGCTTCTGCCATTATTCCTTGAGCATTCCTGGTTAGAGCGGGGAGCCCAGTATGGGTGAGATCATTAAAGTCTTACCATGTAGTAAACCAGCCTGCTTGTAGAAACTCAGCTTGCTTGTGAGAGTGGGTAAGGGATTTCCCTGGAAGGGAAACTGTAGTTCTAATCCCTTGATAAGCATTGGACCACTCCCAGGCCTTTGACATTCCACTGATTGTGTAGCTTGACTTTTCTGGAGGAACTAAAGTCTAGTGACAAAATAAACCTCTGAGGGTAATATAACTTGCATGACTTGACTTTCACAGTCATGCATTCCCCTGTCCCCAATGGATGCCCTAGCTATTTAACAGGGAGGTGATGTCAGGGACTTGGTTGTTTGAGTAGGAAGCAGTGTGCAGCAGGGGTTCACACTAAGGAACAAGGAGCTGGAGAGGCTGCTGGGAGGCTGTCCGGTGTCCCATGCGGGAGATGGTGGGAACTGGCTTGTTGCTGGCTCCTGTCAAGTCCGTCCTGAGACATGGAACCCATGTGAAGGAGTAGCACTGGCTGGCATGGTTTTCTCAGCCATGATCCTGTGGAGCTGATGCCAGTCCTTTCTACTGCAGGGCTACCAGGGGCGTTTGAACTGCCAGTGTTTTGCTTAGCTGCTGCACCTCTGAGGCTCCCTGAGGGACAGCAAAGGCAAAGGGGAGGGAGAGCTAAATAAGGCCCGGTTCTCACACTCAGTGCTGAGTGGTGGAGTCCAAGGGGAAGCCAAAGACTAACTAGCTCGTATGGTTTTGAGCCTGGTGGCAAGTGGGATTTGGAAGAGAGATGGATCTAGGAAAGAAAATGAGTTTGGTTTTAGAACCCATAAGATGCTGAGACTGGTGAGTTGGGCACAGCCTGCAGGAAATTGAAGATGGTAGATGGGAGCTTAGAAAGATTAGACTGCTGGGAAGTGGTAGAATTGTGGGAGGAGGCACAGGGTGACGAGAGGAGGCTGGAGAGGGCAGCGGATGGAACACAAGAGAAGACTGCCCAGACAGGAGAACGGGGGTGGGGGGGTGGAGGGCTTGTCCTTTTTGGTTGAACACGTTAAATAATGATGCTGAATGACAGGCCTTCCTGGTGCTAGCAAATTACAGTTGTAATTTTCTTTAAAAACGTAGACTGTTATTAAGCTGGAGCCATCTGATAACAGTTGGCTGTTATCCATGTGTTAGGAAGACTGGGCGTCAGGTTATGGCACCACAGGCCTGTGTGTCATGGAGTATGACCTGTGATGGTGGGGTCAGTATAGCAGCTTTTGAGAGTGGGTCTCTGGTGGTGCAGTGGTTAGAGACCTCTGCAGCCAAGCAAAAGGTCCAGGGCTCAAGCCCACCAGCCCCCCCCAACCTGGAAGACAATACAGCCAACTAGTTTCATAAAGATGGTGGCCGTGGTCACCCCACAGAGTATCTCTACTCTGTCCGCTAGGGTCACTGATGTGTAAGTGACTTGACAGCAGGTTTGGGTTTTTGGTTTGGGTATAAAATTGGAGTTAGATGTTTTACCTTTGTATCTGTTAAACCCTTTGAAGGTTTTTAGGAGCCCTGGTGGCTGGTGGTTACTGATTGGGATGCTAACCGCAGGGGCAGCAGTTCAAAACCACCAGCTCCTCCATGGGAGAAAAAGGAGGCTTTCTACTCTCAGAAAGAGTTACAGCCTCAGAAACCTACAGGGGCAGTTCCACCCTGTCCTGTAGGGTCGCCATGAGTTGGTACGGACTTGATGGCAGTGGATTTGGTTTGGGGTTTTGGTTGAAGGTTTTTTGTTTTGTTAGAAATCATGTGTGTGTGAACCAGAGCTTTCCGTGTAGTTGAGATAAAGTTGCCAAAACATTAACCCATAGAATTTGAAGTAAACAGTCCATTCAGTAGAAAGGTTTTTGTTTTTTTTTTCAGTAGAAAGATTTTTATTTAAAAAATTATAAATGTAATACAGCTATGAAGTTAGCAATGAGTGAAAGTGATTTAGTCAATTTTCCTGTCTGAATCCCACTGCTGCCTTCCCGTCACAACTAGGTGCAGCTCACCTGACCAGGCCTGCCCAGCCTCAGCTTCTCCCCATCTCCTGCTTCCCCAGCACAGCCAGCCACCAGGCCCACCTTCTGCCCTCAAACCTGGGCAGCCTGCTCCTTGACAGGCTGCCCCTGGCTGCTCTCCATCCGGCTCAAGAAACAACTTCCTCAGGGAAGTGCATCCGCCCACCATGACCCCAAACCAAAACTCACTGCTGCCCAGGCAATGCTGACTTACAGTGACCCTCTGTGGGTTTCCAGGACCGTTTATGGGAGTAGAAAGCCCACTCTTCTCCCAAGGAGCAGCTGGTGGTTTTGAACTGCCTGCCTTTGCCAGCTCCCCAAATTCAGGAAGACCTGGAATTAACTTGTTCACATACTTGTCAACTTGTTTATTACCACTGAGCAGCATCTCCATGGGTGACAGGCAGCCCCACCGCCCCCGTGCCATGTGGTTCTTCTTGGTACTCCTTCATGTCAGGACACTCAACAGATGCACCAGTAACAAGCTGAGTTCACGTGAACCTTCCAAAACCCACTGCCATCAATCAAGTCAGTGCTGACTGACTCAGAGCCACCCTGCATAGGGTGTCCCAGAGCAGAGAGCCTCATCTTTGTCCTCTAGGAGTGGCCTTGGGTTTGAACCGATAACCTTGAGGTTTAGTAGTTAAACACTTACCTGCCACCGAGGCTTCTTCTTTTTTTTTTTTTTAGTGTGGTAGTTTTTGTTTTGTTTTTTAACATTTTATTAGGGGCTCATACAACTGTTATCCCAATCCATACACACATCAATTGTGTAAAGCGCATTTGTACATCATTCTCAAAACATTTTCTCTCCACTTAAACCCCCGACATTAGGTCCTCATTTTCCCCTCCCTCCCTGCTCCCCCCTCCCTCATGAGCCCTTGATAGTTTATAAATTGGTATTTTGTCATATCTTGCCCTGTCCGACGTCTCCCTTCACCCACTTTTAGGTTGTCTGTCCCCCAGGGAGGAGGTCACACACAGTTCCTTGTAATCGGTTCCCTCGTTCCTACCCACTCTCCCTTTACCCTCCCTGTTTCGCCACTCACACCACTGGTCCTGTAGGGCTCATCCGCCCTGGATTCCCTGTATTTTCAGTTCCTATCTGTACCAGTGTACCTCCTCTGGTCTAGCCAGACTTGCAAGGTCGAATTCGAGTCATGGTAGTGGGAGCGGGGAGGAAACATTTAGGAACTACTAGAGGAAAGTTGTATTTCTCATCATCGCTACATCGCCACCAAGGCTTCTTATGTGAGCCTCGATGGATGCTAAATTCAGCATTGTGTGAAACATAATTACAATTTACCGCTTGTCCCACCGGTTTCCTTTTTCCTTGACTTGTTGACGCCAACTAAGGAATCAGCAAGGTAGCGATTACATGGGGCAGGGTATCAAAGGATTGTTTTAAGGAAAAAAATAAACAAATTTTATGATTTGGACCCCGGTGGTCTTTTAAAACCTGATACATTCAGCTATTGAGCGCTTCCTTGAAGTTCAACCTCAAGATTGAATGCGGGTGGCCAGACCTTGAAAGAGTGTTATATTGTCTTTCTCGGGGTTTTCTGATTTAAAATCATTTTGTGTTAGAAGAAAAACCCTGGACTCCTTTTCTCAGACTATTGTCGTGGAAGCAGAGCAAAACAGAAACCTGATTCCCTGAAAGTGATTTTCATAGGGAGAGCCTCTGCCCACCCCCACCCCCCATACACTTAAACTCCCTCCTCCCCGTCTTGGGGTTAGAGAGCCTCCTGATGTGAGGGGAGGGAGGAGAAGGCACAGAGCAGGCCTGGGCCTGGCTTCTGGTTGAAGTAGTTGGCGTGCCACACACGATTTCCTAACATTAACAGGGCCCTTGAAGCACCTGGGTCGGCCCCAGCCCCTTTGGTCTGGAATATAGCAAAGTTCCCAGCTAGGCTTGGGGCTCAGCTGCTTTGGGACCCCTTGGCACCTCATCGCCAGAGCTGCTCAGAGGATCACCCCCAGAAGGGCCCACTGTACCTCTTTCCTTCTTCCACACACTGCGACACCGGGACAGCCATGGACATTGGTTGGAAACAGCGGATGGGCTTTGCACTAAACAGGGCCCCCACGCAGCCTCGTGAAGCAGACACCTGTAACGTTACCGGCAGCATCTCTGGCCTTTCCCTGGCACTGACCTGTATTTTAGGGTTACCTGTGAATGAATCAGAGTTTCATTTTAAAATAGTCTAAGGAGATATATATATATATATACATAATTTCAATAGTAGATCAGTAGTTTGACTCATGGTATAAACCCAAAATCAAACTGCCACCGAGCCTGTTCCAGCTCATAGCAACTCTGTAGGACACGGTAGAACTGCTCCTGCGGATTTCCAATAGTGTAACTTTTTATGGGAGTAGAAAGCCAAAAAGACAAGACAGACAAGGTGAAGTAACAGCTTAGAAGATGACGTCAGTTGCTCGTGACCTGCATGTGTCACCCTTTATCCGTAACTATTTTTGAACCAGTCACCAAGCCTGTTAAAACTGTCTTTAATTATTTTTCATATTTGTCTTCTCCACACACTGCCTCTGCTTCAGGCAAGACACTGTCATAGATTACCTCAGTAGCTCCCCACTCCACCCCCCCTACACACACACACACACACACCACCCCACACCCCCAATTCACACACACACACACACACACACACACACACCACCCCACATCCCCAATTCTCTAGTTTGTGGTTTGAGTGAGTTTGCAAAACAGCTGATGAGATGGCCATTACCAGCCAGGCCTACTGAAAGTCTGGGTTTTCTTCCGATGCCCTTTGCCCTCATGCTAGAGCCCCCAACCATGCCCTGTCCCTGGAGGTCTGTCTTGGTCCCAGCCTCCAGCCTCCTTTCAGTTTTCACCCACCCACCCACCCCCACCCTGGAATGTTCTCCCCTCCCTTTTACTGAACGCTCTCCTCTAGCAGCCTGTTCCAGTCTCCACACAAAACTCACTCTCCTCCTGAGATGTCTTTCCTTTTC